TTTGTCTTGCTAAGTTCATCGATATATCTTAGACACCTAAAGTAGTGCCTGATAAATAGTAGGTCCCAAATAAATTTTGGTTGAATAACTTGAATGCATAAATGCACATGCTATCACAGCTGTTTTCAAGTTCTTTTCTACGTCTGAATTACCCTAGTACATCTTATTCCGCCTCATCTACAATCTCTCTGACACTTTTTTATTTCATACAATTCTTGTTTACCTATTGGTCTCCCCCACTTCTTAGGTCTGGAGATACATATGAGGTTCTCTTTCGAAGCTTATCCCCTAATACATACCAGAAAACAAAAGACATTTAATAAATATTTCTTGAATGCTGACCTGAATAGTTGTTGTATTTCAGGCAAAGGGCTGAAACACATGAATCATACAAACTCTGATCATAATTACAAAGAAGGGCTCATCCTGGAGCCATATATCACCTTTGTTCCATAAATCCTTTTGTTTAAATCTTTTTATGTTTATTTCTTTTTGCGGGGGGGGGGGGAGAGACAAAGCGTGAGTAGGGGAGGTGCAGAGAGAGAGACACACACAGAATCTGAAGCAGGCTCCAGGCTCTGAGATGTCAGCACAGAGCCCATCATGGGGCTCAAACTCAAGAGCTATGAGATCACGACCTGAGCTGAAGTCAGACACTTAACTGACTAAGCCATCCGACCATCCCCAATAATCCTATTGTTTAAAATGGAAGGTACTGGTCCATCAGTTTAGATAACTAGTTGAGGAAGGTGCTGATTTTTGCAAATTCTATTTTGCCAGGATTTCAGAAAATGCAATTTGGTCTTGAATAGCTGGTCTTGGACCAGATGGTTTGTACATTCTGATGTTTAGAATTGGGGATGTTCCCTGACTAAAAATAAATTAAGGGAAAATGCGGAGTGGAATCATTTATTGTATTTAGGACATTGTGCCAGCAATTTTACATATTTTAACTCATTTTATCCTTACAACAAACTTGCAAAGGATATAGTATTATCTATATTTTACAGATGAGGAAGCTGGGGTTCTGAGAATTAAGTACTGTCCAAGGTCATACAAGTACGTGGCATGACTAGAATTTGATCTAAATTTCCTGAAGGACAAAATCCCAGCCCTATACCCAGTACTAGGTTGCCTTCCACTACGTGGGAATTTTATTCTCAGAATCATCTTTCCATACATTGTGAGCTCACAGACTTCTTTTATTGTCTTTGTATCTGTGGTGTTTTGTTCTTTACTACCTTGAACACAATGTGGGATGCTTTCTACAACTTACTCATTCCTTCAAAGTTCAGACCCTGTAGAAGCATGGAATCTAATTAAATTTAGTTCCGGCATACCACTGTCACACAGATGCCAGTCAAATCACAGGCCTGCTTTAGAGAGGTGTCCCTTTCAATGACCTACCTGAAAAGGTCCACCTACACCTTTCACAGCATGAGCTGAATAGCCGGAATTGGATAGTCTGACCTGATTTGATTATGAAGGGCAGTTCCATATCCTGGATCTGAGCTTTTTCATTTCCTGCTCAAGGGTTTCTAATTTTCCTAGGCGAAGACAAAACAGGAGGGGCACCTGGGTGGCTCAGTCGGGTAAGTGTTCCAACTCTTGATTTCAGCTCAGGTCATGATCTCACAGTTTGTGAGTTCAAGCCTCACATCAGGCTCTGCACAGACAGCATAAAGCCAACTTGGGATTCTCTGTCTCCCTTTTTCTAAAAAATAAATATAAATAAACATTTTTTAAAAACATACTTTAAGAAAAAACAGGAAAAACAAGGGAGGAAGCAGGCAGGGAAGGTGGTTTGCTGTGTTACACCTTGAACAGCCGGAACATATGCTGTGCTTCCCTGTCGGGACTGAACAAGGAACAGTCCAGTTAAAAGTACCCTTCAAAGGGGATTGTTTGGGAACAGCAGACTTGTCAAAGCACTCAGAAGTCTATTGCAAAGTAAAAAAATTATATTCAATTCTGTTACAACAATTTCTTGTCATGAGATGAAGGGTAGGGGAGCAAAGGGCTGTCATAGAACAAGAGACCATATTGACGACTGATTACTTGGTCCACTGACTTAATTCCAGCCATCACAACCGTCAGTAGAGGCATTTCATAATCCATAGCTTAGCCGAGTAGGAAGTATAAAGATGGCAACGTACTCAGCCCCCAAGGTCAAAAGTGGGAAAAGCATGGTCTGGAGAAGCTGACAGGCCTCCAGAAGCTTCGCCTCCAAGACCTATCATATGCTCCAAAGACAAGGGTGAACAGAGCTCAGTCTATAACCAGAGAATGATCAATCTATCAATCTACTCACTATTGTTGATAGTTTCTAGTTTGCTGCCCCGCCATTTGTCTCTGTCACCAGTGAACTTTGGAATAGAATGTTCATTCAATTTTATGGCCAGGAGAGGCCTTACAGATTAATCTTATCTGCCCTCTCATTTTACTGCTGAAGCTTCTCGGCCATAGATGGATTGAGGGAATTCAACTTTTCAACTTTTATTTGAATATGAAGTACCATAACAGAAAATATATTCTGGATTTTTCAGGGCTGTGCTGAATTTGCATATCCTGTGTGATTGTCCTCACGCATACGCCTGTATCTGTCAGAGAATGCGTTCCAATTTGAGATTGGGAGACATACGATCACCTTACGGCTCAGCAAATGCTGTTCAGAAAATCTGGTTTGGCTTTTGCATCGAGCTGAAGTACACAAACTGGCAAAGGAAAGAGAATAGAAACGCATTCTACTCCTTTCTTTGCTCATTTTTTTTAGCTTTCATAGAAATGTGTGCTTTGGGGGAGAAACTGTGAGCCTCTAAAGCTCACAGTTGAGCATAGTTGTGAGCTTGAGCTATTGACAAAGGGAACAAGAGAAGGAAACACAGATAAGTAAGGAAGAAAAAGTACATGTACGTGGAACAAAATGAATTAGAATTTAGTTGGTCACATAGAATGTTCAGGAACCTAACAGCTTAGGAATGCTCTTTGAAAAACTGATTTCAACACATGAGGCCCATGTAGCTAAACTGGTAGAAGTTAGGGGGCAGGAGACTGAGTGTGAGAGATGCCTAGAAGCAAGAGGGGGTCAGTGCACTGCAGCTAAGAGGAGGGGGATCTAATCTTAAGCTTCACCGCAAGAAAGAAGGATGTGTGGGGTGAACTACAGAGCCGCCTCCCCCCTAGAATCTGCTCCCTCCCTCCACCCAGAGTAGGAAAGAGTTCTTCAGAGCCTCCCCTCTGGTCAAAAAGCGTGAGGTGAAGAAAATGGGTAGGACACTTCAGGAGCCTTCTTTGTGGAAGAAAAGTAGAATCTACCAATAAACTCGGGAAACTTAAGAAAACAGAAAAGTGAGCCTTTGTATTAGGCAGCAATCTTTGCACTAAATAGAAACAATCGCTGAATTGCAGGCACTGCCTTCTCCATTCTCCCCTGACGCAGTGCCTAAGTGTGCAAACATCCGGGTCCTAAAAGGACATTAAATATTTGTTGATGGAGTCTCAACAACCAGAAGCAGCCCACGAATATTGACACAGGTTGCCTGGGAAACTCTTTAACTCTAAAAGTATTGGGAGTCAAATATTCCTCAGCTAAAGAAAATAATCTGAACCTCTGGACATTTCCTAAAAACAGTATTTGATGATGACATTTAAACAGTGATTTGAGGACGCTTTTATTTGTTCTTGGCTTTTTTTTTTTTTTTTTTTGCACAGACACTGTAAGAGACAAAATTTTTATTACTAGTTAAGGAAAGATCTTTTTCTCTTTGCATTAACTTCCTTTTCCCTACTTGAACAATAAAAAGAGGGGTAAGTTGGGTCTCTTGGTTGACTCACTTGGAAGAGCATGTGACTCTTTTTTTCTTTTAAACGTTTATTTACTTTTGTGAGAGAGACAGAGAGGATGAGTGGGGGAGGGCAGAGAGAGACACATAGAATCACAAGTAGGCTCCAGGCTCTGAGCTGTCCATATAGAGCCTGACGTGGGGCTTGAACTCATGAGATCATGACCTGAGCCAAAGTCAGACACTTAACCGACTGAGCCACCCAGTTGCCAGCGACTTTTGAGCTAGGAGTTGTGAGTTTGAATCCCATGCTGGGCATAGAGATTACTGTAAAAATAAAAAAATAAAAAAAAAGAGTTGTGTCTTAGTAAAGCCTATTTAGACAGTGGGCTTGCTCATCACTTAAATTTTGCCTCCTGATAGTACCTTTCTCTCACAGAGCTGTTATCTTTATCATATACTTAACAACTTTTTAAAAAAGAAGTGAAGGCTGCCTCTTCCCTTTTACAGAAAGCAATGACAATTGCATCACTAGAAGAGCTGTGATGGCAGAACGGAGGGTTGGAGAAAATACTAAGCTCCAGAGCTAATAAATTTGAGTTTGTACATTGAGATTCTGCCTGTGCATCAGATATCTCCATCCCCCCATCTTCTGAAGAGGGCAACGGAGCACCTAGCTTGCTTGGTTCCTGTTTCTTTTGTATTTCTCTTTTCCATTAGAGGCTCAGTACAAAGGGAGGGGAAATTAAGACTCTCCTGGTCATGTGTGTATGTGTGTGTGCACTATTGTCGTTGTTTGCTATATGGACTAAATTACCATTTTTGTCTGTGTGCCTCTCCCCAAATAGCTAGATCATTAGCTACTCGACAAGCAACCTCATATACTTAGCATCTTTAAAACCCAAGCATGTAGCAAAATGCTTATTATAGAGTAGGGAATGGATGGATCACTTTTTAAAGGAATCAGTGAGGGAGTGAATTCTCTGTTTCTGATTGAACCTTCGTGGAGTCCCGACATACTGCCATTAGAGGCTGGGAAACTGTTTCCCATGTAGCTATCCAACCTGCTATTGTTTAATTTGGGAGGTGGCTTATTTGTCACACTCTGGGTATACACTGAAATGTGAAGCAGGATATGTTGCTTCCTCTGTATATTTTGGGCTCTAACCATTCACCGTATATCATGTCAGTCCTTTCTTATCTTTCTGACCCCTCCAGGACAGAACATTATTCCATCCTGTGAGCAGCAGCTGTGTGGATTGCAACCCTGCAGAGAAGAAGATTTTCATGGCCAGATGTGATCCTCTATCTGAGACTCAGCAGTGGATTTTTGAACATCTTAATATGACTGTTTTAGAAAAATTTAACCACCATGCCAGCTCCTAGGAGAAGGAAAGGAGGAAAGAACGAGTGATTACCTACGGATTATAAAAACTAAATTTTAGCCAGCATCTGGGTCGAAGGAGTCAGGAATAACATTTCCTAGATCCAGGAAGCCTGGTTTAAAGATCTGTAAATGACATGTCAAAGTAGGTTGTCCTGCAGAAATTCCTGCATCTGAAGAACTTGGCCGAGAACCTCACCAGCTGCATCTGAGAACTTGAGACTAGCAGTGCCCTTGCTGGCCAAGGGCAGAGATTATTTAAGGACTTTTCAAAACAACTGCTGAGTTAATAAATCCTAGCATTTCTCAGGTCAAATCCTGCAGTAGTGAGTAGCTATGAATGGATCCTATTAACCGGGTGGGAGGGGGGCGGAAATAGAGTGCATGACTGCTCTGCAAAGCTGAGGATACCGCAGGTTTAGAACTAGCCACGCTTAAGGGGTGAGCTGTACTCTTTGGTGCCATTCTCTGACTAAGAATGGGTTAAGCAGGTTTAACCCTTCAAAGTACTGCAGATGATTTTAGAGTGCTCATACCATTCTGTTCTTTTGTTTTCAAAGGAGGGTGCGCTATCTAATGGAAGACGTAAATTACATAATGAAAGGAACTTCCAATGTTCACGTTCTTTCATTTACATTTGCCATTTTCCTTTTTAGAGCAGAGGTAACTTATTGTTCATAAAAGCTCACGCTCCACGATTCAGCTGAAGTTCTAATTCAGTGCCCTTGTATGAATCCCGTTTCGAAACAAAACAAAACAAAATCTATGCTACCAAGTTACTCCAAAGAGAAAGATTTCACAGAAGCAGCAAAACCATGCAAGATTGAGGAGAGGTTTTCCCTAGGATATCTATTTTTACTTTTCTATTACTTTTAGAATTTTAAAAGTCTGATGTTTGTCCAGTCATAATTTTTATTAAGGGAGGAAATGGAGTGAGGTTGATGTAATTTGTTGAGGAGATTCTTAAATCCAAATAAATCTACACTCCAAGTGATGTGCGAAAATGGCTTGGTTCCCTTCAATTCTGTGTGGTTGGTGCTGGGGACACAGAAGTGGTTTTATTTGTTTTGTTTCGGGGTTTTTTTTTTACTTGTTTGTTTTATATTGCTGATATTAATAATGTTTTTTGTTTCCCTTGGAAGCTCACAGAAGGAATTTCCATCAATAAAGTGCTTCTATCACCATTTTCTGTTAATGGGGCAATACTTCAGGGGTGAAGAAAGGAATGATTACACAATTAATTGGAACATTTAATCCTTAAATTTTTTTTTTTTTTTTTTACTTTTCAGTAATTAAAGTTACGGGGGAAGAAAATACAGGGATCCAGATGCATCTCTAGATGAAAGAGTCATGTTTATTATACATTTCTCAAGTTTTTCCGAGTAGAAAATATTTTTATTTTGCTTTTGTAGTTTCCTTTTAACTTAGAATTTCTGTTAATAAAAATGTCTGTATTGTCTTGGATATAGAAGCGATGAATTTGAGAACTGGGAAGACTCATAGAATCCAACCCCTTCATTTTTTCCAGATGAATAGCAAAAGGCCAAAGAGGGAGGGGAGTCTTAATTCCAGGCTGGCAGATGGCTCTTCTGACCAGCATTTTCCCTCCTGTGCTGTGCTGCCTTCCCTCTGTTACCCAAGGTGTTTCTGGTTATGACTCTGTATTACTCTGATGTAACTTGAAATTTTTAGTCGTGCGATGAGACTGTATGCCTCCCTGGGGATGCTTATGAGAATAGCGTTCATGTCCAGAACCTTGACTACATGAAACATCTTGTAAATGTTCATCATTTTGTTCCCTCCTCAAAATCGAATCAAAATGTCCAGTTAAATTGCCCTGCTGATAGTTGAGGGAGAGTTATTTCGTCATCTTTACAGATCTTTCAAGCATTCTTTTGAAGAGCTATTCTTTTTAAAATGGCAGTCACTGAGATTTGGGGGTTAGGTCAAGAGATCTTGAAGCATTCAAGATGCAGAAGAGAGAAAATCAATAGGGAGGAATTAACCTGTGTGTGTTGAACAATACCAGAGAGTGAGTGAAGATTTATCTCAAGTGTTCAGAAAGCAATCTGGTTGTAGAATTAGATGAACCTATAAAAATTCACACTATGTCATTAAACACTTGACTGCTATTTACAGTTTTACCAAAGAGCCACCCCTGGGCTCTGCACCCTGGAAAGCCCAGATCTGCAATATGTCAGGATGCTCTCATCATTGGAAGCTAGCCATGACATATTTGGCACTATTTTCTGAGAAAGCCTGAATACCGCACCGTTTTCGTGTAACACCCAGGACCGACAAAGATTGGGTTCCTGATCCCAGAGGGGCTTGTTGTCTCTGGCATCTAATTTTCCCTTTGAGTAAAAGGATGTAATATAAAAAATTAAAACAGAAAAAAAATTCAAGGGAAGCCTAAGACACTAAAGCCAAAATTAAAACTTCAAATTGCCAAGCAATTAAGTGTGTGCAAATGGGGAACATCCAAACAGAGTAAAATGAAGCCCAAAGAATCTACTTCTTAGCAGAAGGGCAGAACACTGCCAACAAGCACAGTTAAGGAGACATCCCAGTACCACCAAAGATTGGGACTCCACTTCCTTAAAATGCCACTATGGCTCTTGTGAAAAATAGAAAATTACATATGTTTGTATAATCACTTGGCAAAGGGGACTGAACAGTAATCAAGAAGATTCTCTTTCCTGGAAATAATATGATTTAGAAATTGAACAGTAGAGTACTGACTTATTTTTGTATCAGAATGAGAAGGAAAATATTGTAGAGATAATCTGGCCTCAGAAATTGCTACTTCTCCATAATAAATGGTTTTGCCATTTATTTGCTGGAAGTTAGGAAATAGTTAATTTTTTAATGTTTATTTATTTTTAAAAGAGAGACAGAGTGTGAGCAGGGGAGGGGCAGAGAGGGGGAGAGAGACACAGAATCTGAAGCAGGCTCCAGGCTCTGAGCTGTCAGCACAGAGCCCAACGTGGGGCTCGAACTCACATACTGCAAGATCATGACCTGAGCTGAACTCAAACACTTAACTGACTGAGCCACCCATGCACCCCAGAAAATAGTTAATTCTTTAAAAAAAAATTTTTTTTTAATGTTTTATTTTTGAGAGAGACAGAGCACAAGGAGGGAAAGGGAAGAGAGAGAGAGGGAGACACAGAATCGGAAGCAGGCTCCAGGCTCTGAGCTGTCAGCACAGAGCCCAATGCAGGGCTCAGACCCATGAACCATGAGATCATGACCTGAGCTGAAGTCTGACACTCAACTGACTGAGCCACCCAGGTGCTCTGAAAATAGTTAACTTTTTAAACTCTTATGTATTTACTGAGGAAAGGCTATGCTGAAAAGCAATTGTGAACTAATGCCGGGATTTCTACTTTGTTCCAAGGCTGAATTAATACCATGGTAATAACAACATAGCGGCTTCTATGCCTACCGCTGTTTAGTTAAAAATATTAATATGATCACATGACTCTTTAAATGTATTCATTATATCAGAGGCCTCGGTGAATAATGCAACTTCCAGGATTCTTTTGTGAATTGGTAATAAGAGAATTTTATAAACAGATGCGTAATATATAATCCACTGGATTTACCACCGTGAAAGACATGGTGGGGCCCATTCCCGTCACGTTCTTGCAAAACACAAAACCAGTACCAACACTTGACGCCATTTCTTTTAGGGGCAATTATATGTTTTTATTTAAAGCCAAAAAATAAGTAAAGGGCATATAAATATCTACTTTGTGACTTTTGCCCTCACATGGAAAGCTATGCAATTCTTTCATAACTAAGGAAATAACAAAAAGGAATCCTTTATTGGAACTGGTACCATAAAGTCTGTGTCAGATACATCAAAAGAGCCAGTGGCACTTGAGTTATGAAGCCGACTGTCCTGTGACGGGAGGAAGGCTGTAGTCACCACTGCGTGACCTTCCTGGCCCTGACTTCACACATCTGAAGGCCAGAACAGAGTTGCTGGTAAGGTCTGTCACCTCCTGCTTTTGACTTCCCTTGTTAAATGTTGCAGAATCTTTCCCAGGAGTGGACAACTCCTCCCTTCCCCCCACCCCCCAAACGCCTTCAAATGCTTCTGGATTATGTTACTTAAAATTTAGAACCATCTTAATAATATACGATTATTGTGAACGTTGCTTTATCCCTGGGAACCCCCGTGGTAAAACCTCTTTAGGCTTCTTCCCTGGCAGAAATATAAGGCTGCAACACGCTTTCATAAACAGGTGCTGGAGATGAGGAAGTCAGCAAGGCATGTTGTGTAAATCCGGAGAAGGGAGATGCAAAGGGAAACTATTTTTAAGTGGTCCTCCATGACTGTGAGAACAAATACAAACGGTGAGAGGTAAATTGTATCTCTAACATGGGGGTGCATAATCCTCTCCATTCGCCTCAGCCACAAGTTCTACCATTGCCATCATAACTCTCAGACGACACCACTACTGTAATTACTCTCTATGGGCGAGACTGTGGCAGAGGGCACTGAAGCGTGACAAGTGGCCAGTCCTTCCCACGCTGCCGACGCCGGAAGATTGCTCTTTGATTTATGTCTGTAGCCTTTGCTTGCAGAACCGGGAGCTGTTTGCAACTCTGTTTGGTAGACTTGACGTTGGCCTGAAGCCTTTATTCACAGTCACTCATCTCTCCACTTGACACGCCAGGCTGGTGTGTCTGGTATCGTGGTTTCTCAGCACACAACAGCTCAGGCACATGTTTGATACTTCACTTCAGAGAAACCTGGGAGCATTTCTCCTGGCCCTCCCGCCCGAAGCTGCCCCCTTCAGCTCACCACAGGACAGCCTCCCTTCCCTCACCCCACTCCCCCCTCTCCAGCTCCCCCGGGGCTTCTGCAATCTGCCACTCTTCCACCTTTGCTTCAGCCCCAGCGTGATGCAACCAACCTCAACACAGAAGTCTGGCGACCTCTCAGCATCTTACTGTTAATGATTTTATTCTGACATTACTCACCTTGCGGGGAGGGCTGTTTGTAACTAAGTGACCTGGGTTCTGATTTACCAGGGACTATCCTGGTTTATGCCTGTTATCCTGTGTTCCGTTTTACTCTTAAAAGTACCCAAATTTGGGGGCGCCTGGGTGGCTTAGTCGGTTAAGCGTCCGACTTTCACTTAGGTCATGATCTCGCGGTTTGTGGGTTCGAGCCCCGCGTCGGGTTCTGTGCTGACTGCCAGCTCAGAGCCTGGAGCCTATTTCAGTCTGTGACTCCCTCTCTCTCTGACCCTCCCCTGCTCATGCTGTCTCTCTCTCTCTCTCTCTCCTAGAAATAAATAA